TATATTTTTATAGCTCTGACAGGATGATGAAAACTATCATTACTAAGAAATAAAGCTGATGTTTTGATTTGAACAAACTTAACAATACAATATCACTGTCCCAGCCGAATAACATCAACAAATAACATCATACTTTGTGTAAGCATCTCGTACAACTGTGTTGGTGTGATAATGAAATCAAAACACATGCATCCTGTATCCATGAAAGTGGATAGTAAGTAAAAAGTAGCATTTGTTGTGATAATTATGCATTATCCTGGTAATTTTAGTTTAAATGAAATTATGTTAGATTTAGTTGATTGAAACTAAACATGGAAGATAATTTTTAGGTCAATTTTTATTTTTTCTTTGTTCTTTTGTTGCTGTTCTTGATATTCCACTTCACTCACACATGAAATTGACTTCCTGAGCCATATCTCTGATCCTTTTTAAGGACAAGACGTGCACTTCTACATGTATGCTGTGCAGCTGGCTCAAGATTCTATATATAGCCAGGCTGCCCTACCGACACTGGCAAAATGAATGCTTCCTCGAACAAAGCTAACCAAAGGTGCCATCAACTGTCTAAATCTGAACAGGAAGGAAGCCTAGCTTTCGGCATAGGCACCAGCTTGTGTGAAGCTGTGACTTTCAGGGTGTGCACCACCCAGTGTTCATTTCTGTAAACATCAAACATGTGTGACCACGGAGGAAAACCCTTCTGAAGGTATATCTCTCGACCATATAGATTATAAGATCCCCTTTACAACGAACTACCCTAAGATTAACAGGTCACTTAAATAACCATGCATTATTCCTCTGATAATGCTTGTTGTGTTTTCAGATAGGTACATGTTCTTTCATCCTGATTTTTCAAAGATACTTATCACTTGAGTTTGTTTTTATTGCAAGTGTGATGCATGTAATCTCATCTTGATGTGTTCTTAGATCGAAGATCCTGATTGCAGCTATGCCTCATTGCCTACCATGGCCAAAGCTTCTTTGAGAGGGTTACTGTAGTGTTCTCCGTCTCATATGTGTTGAGGATGAGCTGAATGTCACTGATATTGATACGTGATATCTTGTGGTCAATGATAAGTGTAACACCGTGTCCGTGACATCTTTCAATGCCAAAGTTTATTTGCAACGAGCCAAAGCCTATTTGCATTGCAACGAGCAGTAATGTGATGTGTGGAACATGTAATATGCACGATTGGGAAACACTCACTCTGAAACCCAAAGTGGCATGTTTGCATATATGAGAATGTTCAGTGTTCATCGTCTATAGATAATAAAAGCATTAGCATACGAGTAGGTGGATTGGTCGGTGGTTGCCCAAAATAGTACCAGAGCTGCAATTTTGACACCATCGTGTTCGTCATGCTCAGCCACGTCGAATGATATGCTTTTTGTATGGGTGGGGTCAATTTAGGATGTTGACCTCCTTTCAAGGTCAGGTCAGGTCATGACCTCATGATGAGGTCAAGTTGCACATTATTCAATTGGGAAGGTCTTTCTGAGTCCATTTGTGTCTTTTCTGTCTAAGATCACTGTCGGCGCCAAAATAACTGTCTCTATATTCCCCCATTGGCTTATAATGGCCAGATCACCTGACCGAACTGACGTTAGGTGACCCTTGGAGAAATCCGACTTTTGAGAATTAGGGAGTTTGATAAGTTCTGTAAGTTTCATCTACCCGTGATAGATCTCCTTGCATTGATGGAGCTGCGATGTTACGTTTTCGTGACCGTGCAGAGGTTCACTTATGACGTCATAGGTCAGTGACCTGACCTGACCTGAAAATGAGGCTGGTGCCACAAAGTCCGGCTTGAATCAAAGGTCAGGTATGCCAACTTACAACTCTCCATCACCAGCGCGCTCACCCCTACTTTACTTTGCAGCCATGGTTTGACGCACATTAACGAAAAAAGTTTTGGTCTGGCCGAGATTCGAACACAGGACCTACCGATGTATCAAAAACATGGGGTCATATGTATATGGACGAATATCTCGAAAATGGTTGGATGGGCTTGAACTTTTCATCCCATAAATGGAAATAAAAATGTTGTAGCTATCTTTTAACATACTTCGTATGTGGATGACCACACCACGAGACCTTGAAAACCGAGTGCGAAAAGTCGCATTTTAACACGCAACCCTATGGGCTATAGGAAAAGTCACGCCCATGCTGCCATATGACTTTGGAGGGGGCTGGCCGGCATCGCCGGCATATGAGTCGTCGGCTCTAAAGACTGAAACAGACTCCGCGGTCAGGAAATCGCATGCGAGAGCCTATTCAAATACATTATAATCCTTCCCGCATCAATCACATGCAGATTGATGCGAGCGTGACTTCATGTATTTGAATAGGCTCTCGCATGCGATTTCCTGACTGCGGATAGTCTGTTTCAGTCTTAAGGGTCCAGATCCGCATGGGACGGCTCCACACCAGTGACTCTGACGGCCCATAACGGCGCCTGTGAGGGCCTAACACCGACGCCTCTGAGGGCCCAACACCACCAATCTGATGGTCTCACGCCAATGTTTATTTAGGCCACCCTATTCCATTCCATTCCATTCCAGAATGTTAATTGCGCATCGCCAACCTAGTAAAACGATCAAAAAATAAACATGAATAGCAAAGATAAAACAAAATAATCAGACATGTGCACGGATCCCAGACAACCAATCACGGAAATCGAGATGGCCATTAGATTGACGGTCTTCAAGCATGAAATTATGGTGGAAAACATGGCTCATAGAAGCCTCTCAATGAACCAACTATTTTGCATTCCTTCAGGGTTAACAGTTCTGAGAAAATCCCTCAAGATCCATCTCGGATCCATGATTCGTGGCCATGGATCCGAGATGGATCTTGAGGGATTTTCTCAAAACTGTGAACTCTGAGGGAATGCAAAATAGTTGGTTCGTTGAGAGGCATCTATTAGCCATGTTTTCCACCATAATTCCATGCTTAACCCGCGCCCAGCTGGGGGTCCTGGATTTCCACGCCCTGCTGGGGGGGGTGTTTGAACACCCCCCCTTCTAACTCGGCTCCTGGGCCACGTAGCGATACGCGGAAGGCGGCGTTCGAAAGGGCGTCAAAAATAATGACGAAATCACTTCGGTCAATTTTTTGGTCAGGTCAAAGGTCAGGTCACCAGAGGTCATTGAAGGCAAAATTTCGCCGATTTCCAGGTCGAATGTCGACAATTTCCAAGAAGCCAACGCATAACTCGGGAACCCATAGAGCTACAGCGCCGCGGAAAAGCGCATTCGATAGCCCTATTAACGCCCTTTCTGAGTAATTCTCTCAGATTTGACCTAACTTCAACGGTTTTGCCTGCAGGGGGCAAAAACTGCAAAAATAGCCGATTTTTTCGGAAACAGTTTTTCTGCAATAACTTTTGACCCAAGCCTTGTACGAGCTTACTTTTACCGGTATCGTGTTCCTCTCGTCAAGACGCATCGAATGAACTATAACTTGACCTTGAAAGGTCAACTTGAAAATTCGACCTCAGGTCAAGGTCATGACCTGACCGGAAAGGGTCATGTTGCATATCAGTCGATCCGTATCGTCGAGCTGAACACATCTAAGGCGTTTTCATCGCTCTAGCATGCCTCTATCAAAAGTTATTTGCGAAAAACTGTTAGATACCATTCGTGACCTAAGATGACCTCAGGGCATAAACCGGGGTCACGGACACCATTTCCATGTTCAGTGTGTCTAAACCACTTGTAATTCGGTGTTTGGGAGTGTTTATAATGTCTTTCGTCCAAAAGAGGCGTATTTCAATTTTCTCCCATTGACTTATAATGGGGAGGTCGCAAAATTGACCTGACCTTAGGTCATCGATATCAAAATTCTGAGATATACATTTTGTACATGCTATTGCTCTCAGCAATCGCTGAAAGTTTCAAAGCGATCGGTCACTCGGTGTAGCTATGACAGACATTGAAACTTTTTATGAGGTAGGGTCACTTCAAGTGACCTGGTGGCCTGACCTTGAATGACCTTGGTCTGAAATTTTCACAACATGTGTAGAATTGATGTATGATAAGGTGTACCAAAAACGGCGGCGCTCCGCGCCGCCGTTTTTGAGATATTCGCGAAAAACCACAAGGGGGGGTGTTCAAACACCCCCCCCCCCCAGCAGGGCGCGGGTTAAAGTCCACTAATCTAGTGGCCATCTTGATTTTCGCGTTTGGTCGTCTGGGATCCGTGCCCATGTCTGAAAATAATATGACTGGTGCAAAGGCACATTGTGCTTGACTCTAGGCACCACCTCTTGTAACATAATCAGATAGGCACCATAAACATAAAGCAGCACGAACGTAAGTCGGTGGCCCGCCGCCACGACAGGCCACCGACCCAACCCGTGTTCAGTGCTGACGTCACTCACTTAGCCCACCGGGGATGCCGTCCACAAAATAGAATGAGGTAGGAAAATTAAAAGGTAAAGCGGTGTGAACGAAGCAAGAAATTTTGGAAATGCTGAGCCACCGCACGGCAGTCCCAGCCGCCAAGATCGTCGCCATGCAAAAGAACACGTAATAACCATGAAGTTGACATCCGACCAAAATTTTCGCCAAAAATGTGCAACATCTCCCTGCAAAGTTCCTTTCTCTGCAAATTGTGGTTGGGACACACGAAAATGAAATGTTGAATGTTTTCTGTTAAAAATAAAATGGCTGAAAAGTGCCCCCCCCCCCTGTTCCTACGCCTATGGTGGGGAGGCAGACCGCTTGCGGGCATTTTTATTTACCGTGGCGATGTTGACACGACTGTTCGCGAGGCAAAACGCATGTGTTCGGAGAGCTGAGCAAGTTGCGCTATTATCGTGTCCCCAGTAAAGGGAGCTCCAAATACTTCTAGTCTAGGGACAGTCCCTGATAGTTTTCGATTATTTCAAAACTTCTAGGGACAATGTCCCTAGTGTCCCTAGTGGTGGTGACGCCCATGGAGCGCACATGGCCGTGTCCACGGCTGACGGGGACGGCCCCGTCATCCGCACCCTCACCGATTGTTTTGATGATCTCGAAGCTGTCCAGCGCATACTCCTTGCACTCCTCTCCGTTGATAATGGGAGGCGGCTCTTTGGGCAGGCTGCCCTGTCGTTTGCGCGCCGCCACCTTGCTGGCGGCCATGGAGCCGACTGGGGCGGCCTCCAGCCGGCCGTTCTGACCCCGCACTGCAGACTGGGGCGGCCTCCAGCCCGCACTCCACCGGCACACGGCACACCTCTCAGCGCGCACTCTCAGGCAGCACAGCGGGCCGCTCGGCGCTCACTCCTGACGGCCCGTGCGGCCACCTGTTGCACACCTCACCGCGCCGACTGGTCCGCCGTCGGCTCGCCTCGGACGGCTCGGGCGCTGTCGTATATCCACCCGCGGCGTCCGGCCGGCCCGCTGCGCCGGAGATAACTGAGCCAACCGAGCAGCCCAGCTCAGCCGCGTCCAGCGGCCGGCGCCGATTCCGACAAGTATCGCGCCGGCGAAGCCGTGACGTCAGCGGCGGCAGGGCGGCCGGCCGGGTCACGGACGGGTGGCCGCGGAGAAAGTGGTCCGTCGCCGGCCGCGGCGGTCCGCGCCGCATCCCCAACAGCACCCCCAGTCATTCGAAACAGAAAAGCCCATTAGGTTGTCTCTGAGGCACCTGGCACGACTTTGCAAAGAGCCACCCTTTATTAGATGATTTTGTTTTTTATTTGGGCTTCAGTGAAACCACCAACATTTTTATCTCTTTGGCGATAATGCGTTGGAGACCATACGCTGGTGTACATTGGTCTCTTTGGAGACCATACGTTGGTGTACATGGGAAAAGTCGCGGCGCGCCCGGAATCGAACCGGCAATCTCTCGATTGATTAACCGCAACTCTACATTGAGCTACCGAGGTGCCTTGTCGTAGGGGCCACAAACGGCATTCTGTACCAGCGGCGGCGGCGGCTGACAGGCTGTAGTAACGACTTCGGTCGTATTTTCTTTTTTTCTTTTTTTAGAGATTGGCAGCGTTTGTGGTGACGTTGGTCAAGTGTGGATGATGTGCAGCGATAGTGTGGATGTTTGTTCACCTTAGATGGCATTTTGCCGTTCAAATGCGTTTCTGGCTGGTGTAGCCAGTAGACAAGCTGTGATAAACAGATTTCTCTTCTATTTCGCCACAAAATCGAGACATATATAGTTTTACATACGAACTTAGTTATCTAGTATTGCACACATGTTGGCGAGAACATCGAATGTAATAAACGAATACATATGGTTTTTAATATACACATAGCCAATGCAATTGTCCAAACAATACAGCAGTTTAAGCGAACGGAACGTTAAAAGGGGGACGCACAACTTAATCGAAGGCTTTAGCAATTTAGAGACTGGTAAAAGCGACACCTATTAACAAAACTGTAACTCGCGGTTCACAGCATCTAGCGGCGACCGGCAGAAGTACATGGGCCTAGCAGTGATCGGCAGAAGTACATGGCTACACGTTCAAATGCGCAGTTGTTGGGAAATCTCATGGACGGGGGGTCGCTAGCAAGAATTTCTTTTGATGTGCAGCGCGCGGATCGAATCCGCGGACCGTCAAGACATTCGTTCATGGAGACACCTGGGGGGTCTTCTGGACAACGGCACGGTCTTAACCCTCGCCCATGTAGGGGGGGGGGGTTGGTGCAACCCCCCCCTGAGGTTTTTCGGAAATAGTGAAAAAACGGCGGCGCGCAGCGCCGCCAAATTTTGGGTACCTTATGGGGCAAACCTTGCGCATCTTTTGATAAAAAAAAATTGACCGGGTCATGTCAGGTCACGGAGTTATGACGTCACAAAGGGAACAGCCTCCAGCCGGATTTTCACAAACTGAGTGCCAACGCCCGAGGTTTCCTGCCGGTGGTACGGACATCGGTTGATGGATCGTGATGAAACTTCCCATGCATGTTGGGGCAAGTATTGGCTATCATATGGTATAAGAAACTTGACCGGGTCAGGTCAGGTCACGGAGCTATGACGTCACAAGAGGAACAGCGTCCGGTACTATTTTTGAAAAGCGCCCGAACCACTATTTTGCTAATTCTTGTCACCTCAATGAGAATATGCAGCAATATTAGCTTCTATAGGGAGCAAATAGACCTCCCAAATCCAAAAATACAATCAGATTTCAAAAATTTAATTTTTGATTTTTCGAATTTCTTCCTCCGACTGTGACCTTGCCGACTTCCGGCGCTCCCAACGCGCCATTTTTAGAGCTAGGGAAACGAAATACATACCAAACGATAGAGAATTGATCAAGGAACACGATAGTGAAGTTTTCAAGTCCATATCTCCCACCGTTTTTGCCGCAATCGCCGCGGAAAGTTGAAAAAAGTCTATTTTTCCGAAAATTTGACCTTTGACCGGTCAAAAGTAGGTCAAATGTTGACCTAGGACCAAAAAATATACCACCAATCGCGAGATCTCGGCGAGAGCAATCCGTTGGTCTTTTCCGCTAAGCTCTACGACGCTCCGTTTTCAAACGCCAAGGGGGGGGTCGCACCAACCCCCCCCCCCTGCATGGGCGAAGGTGGCAGATCGCCGTTTACGGGCGAGGGTTAAAACTTCCAACGTTATCTCAAAGGTCGATGTATCGATGTTGAGATTGATTGAGATAGTCGGCATACTAAACCTTGGCTTTCTGGAAATTTCGGCATCTAATGTCTCCGTGTCAAGAGCATTTACCGGAAATTGAGACTGGCCGGATACCTCGGAGTAAACCAATCATCGAATGTTCTAAAAACTGTTTCCGAGTGTTAGCGTCGGCACGGGGGGGGGGCAAGCGGGGCAGCTTGCCCCCCCCCCCCCAACCTCCGACCGGGCACCCCTTGAGATCGATGTAGATTCGATGAGATTTTGGGATCGGTGAAAAATGGGGGGTGCTTTTCGAAAATGGCTGTGAAGTCAGAATCGGTTAGAGACGAGAGTCCCAGCGAGAGTCTGAGTGAGAGTCACCAAAATACTCAGGACTGACTCCAAACTCGGAGCCGTTCGAGATCCCGTTCGAGAGCCGCAGCCCCGCCCCCGCCGGCATCGAACGCCATTGGCCGCCGACGACGTAGAATCTTCATCGTCCGGGAGACTGCGAATCCACCCTAGTTCTAGGTGGGCCAGTTCGTGGGTAGGGATGTAATGAAACTCCTTGCTCTTCCACCAGATGGTCAGAAATTGATTTTCGTTGCGCGTACCGTGATGTTACGTGTCTATTTTTCAAATACAGCTCTCACCTTTGATCGATCTTTTTCAGCCGATTGCAGCGCTCTTTAAGTAGACATACGGCCCATAATGTTGACAGTTGACATCAAGTCTTCAATTTCGACACATTTTACGCATCAGTTAGCATCCAGACACGCCAGTATTCCAAACAACTGGGATCAGCATCATCGTGCACAGCCTACCGGCACCACAGGGCATACCGAGTCAACTAAGGGAGGGGGAGGCAGAGGTCTGTAGCCCAGCTGCGATAACGAATCCAGCTGACCGCAGTTTGCCCGCCGGCGCCGCTCGCCGCTCCGTAAAATTCCACATCCAGTTCTTCGGCTCGGGGCTTGGCCACCCTTCCGCGCTGCCTTATTACAACGAATAGCCTCTCCCTGTGCGACACCAACTGTTGACAACAAACGTGCGTAACTGGCCAGCGTGTGTCACCACCAGGGTTGTACAGGGTGTCCGGATAGTTCTGGCGCTTTTCAACATTTTCTAAAACAAATGCCATTGGTTCATAGATACTAATCAATGGATCAAAACAATGACCAGGGACACCGAGCCACATGCTTCCGCTACGTGCTCATTCAATGCAACCACCGTCGGCGCCGACGACGGCCTCGACGTAGGGGAGGAAGCGTCTGCGGGTTTTGACGATGCGGGGCATTTCCAGGTCCTCCCAAGCTGTCATGATGCGAGTCTTCAGCGACTCCAGGTTGGGGTGAGAAATGGCCTAGATCCTGTTCTAAAAAACGCGTAGCACGCCTTAGTCGAGCGGGTCAGGTTAGGAGAATAAGGCGGCCTAATCTCATTTCCCCACGGTGATCTGGCCCGGCAAGCTCCTCTGTCAGTTTAGCTTGAATGGCGGCGGCGTTGTTGGAGGGTGCTCTGTGCTGTTGAAATGCGAAGTGACCCTTAGGGCATGTCGTCTTGACCCTCGGGTTGATGTGGCTGTCCAGGAACCCCTCGTGGGCCAGCCTGTTATTCATTTATTCGACATTGACGAAGATGATGGGACATTTTTGTCCATCAGACCCCCGCACTTTCTTCGATTGCCGCGCTGAAATGCTGCTTCGTTCCCATATCGCGTTCGAAACGGTCTGAGGATATTTTTTAAGGAATTCCCGAGTCGAAATAAACCTTTACCTGCTAAACCATTCATCGAAAAACGCCGCATCGCGCTGCAACTCGCGCCTCGTTCAAGTCGCACCCGGCCGCCGCGCGCAGGCATTCAGCGACAAGGCGCATCTTCGCCCATCTACCCATCACTGAAAACGATTTCAAGGTCATATTTACACGACCCCTGGCTGAGCAATCAACGAGGGGTCATGTCTGTGATGATTGGCTGAATGTCCAATAATCACAGCGCGCGTTACACGGCGTCCAAAAGAAGCGCCAGGACTTTCCGGACACCCTGTATACCAATCAAGTCGATTGAATTGATTGATTTGTTTCAACGCGTATTTTGAGTTGATTGGATTGAGTCGATTGACTTTTCGAGATGACTTGTTGACTGACTCGTTTGACTTTAGCGACTGGTTGACTGATTTGATTCCCGAAAATTAGAGTGACTCGTATGATTGAGTCGGTTGAATGGAAATTTCAAATAAGTTTTAGTTGACGAAAAATAATGACACCAATTGATGACATCAAAGATCACAAAACTACACTGAAAACTGCTTGTAATCACAACTGCAATATGGGGTAGAAGGCCAAATAAAGAACAGGGCCTAAACATGAACAGCCAACTTTGACTTTCAACTGCAATAACTGCTCCAATCCTGGTGATAGAACCTGGCGATGCACCTACCTACCTTTCTGCACTCAGCAGGAAACGTATTTTTTTTTAAATCCAGATGATAAAGTGCAAGGCCCTATATACTAATAAAGTGTGATTAATTAAAATAATTCACATCTCCACATCTCCTCAGAAACAACCCACTGAACTCTATTATGTAATATCTGAAACCCCTACAAAAATAACTGAAACAAATGCGCCGTTTTCGTCTCGCTAATTACGTTTACGTAACCTAATTAATAGCTAATTTGCTGCATTGTTTAATTTGCAGTAGAACGTTTGTCGATCCTTTTCCCCTGAGAGCCTAAGCATAACATATTTAATATATTTCATTTTCCTTAAAATATTTTACCGAATATTATTAATAGTGGTTTTATTTCAAATGAAATAATAATTAAAACGAAA